CTCTTATTCTCTTCTATATTCTCTTCTCTTTTCTTCTCTTCTCTTCTCTTCTATATTCCATTCCTTCTTCTGTTCTATTCTATTCTATTCTATTCTATTCTATTCTATTCTATTCTATCTTCTATATTCTCTTCTCTTTTCTTCTCTTCTCTTCTCTTCTATATTCCATTCCTTCTTCTGTTCTATTCTATTCTATTCTATTCTATTCTATTCTATTCTATTCTATCTTCTATATTCTCTTCTCTTTTCTTCTCTTCTCTTCTCTTCTATATTCCATTCCTTCTTCTGTTCTATTCTATTCTATTCTATTCTATTCTATTCTATTTTCTATTCTATATTCTATTCTATTCTATTAATTCTATTCTCTTATTCTCTTCTATATTTTATTCTATTTTATCAATTCTCTTCTCTTATTCTCTTCTCTTCTCTTCTATATTCTATTCTATATTCTATTCTATATTCCATTCCTTATTCTATTCTATTCTATTCTATTCTATTCTATTCTATTCTATTCTATTCTATTCTATTCTATTCTATTCTACTCTACTCTACTCTACTCTACTCTACTCTACTCTACTCTATTCTTTATTCTGTCCTGTCCTGACCACACCCAGATATTGGGTTTTACAGTGAAGACCCTCCAAAATGAATTGCACAAATTATTTTCTTGGAGCAAGGATGGTTTCCAGGAGCTTTATAGGACTTCAGCATAGACATGCATTACGCACACATTGACAAATTGATTTTAAAAAGATAAAGATTAATTAAAACTGATACTCACAATTGCATAACCAGATACAGATGGCTTGAACTCTCGTAAATGTCTTCCAGGGCCACAATATTTTCATGCTTGATCCTGTATAAAAGAGAGTAGAACAAGGTTAAAAACTAAGCACCCTGGGATGGTACACTTGTATAATTGAGCCAGATGGGCAACCTTGGGCCAATCGTTCTCTCTCTGCCCTCGGAAGCCACTTCTGAAATCTGGCTAAGAACACTGCAAGGATTTATCCACTAGGAGTCAATGCTGACTCAGAACGAGATTCAAGATAAGTCCATTTATCAATAGTATACAACAACCCATTGACCTCTTTCTTGTGAGGTTAAGAGGCTCTTCTTGAAGATTAAACAGCAGGGGGCAGCATCCGATTAACCATGGTTAGGTTCAAAGGTTAAGCAGGCTTCCAGACTGAATTAGCACTTGATGACAAATCTCAAAAACCTGGTATATGGTCAAAAACCTGGTATATAAGCCAACGGAAAGCTATTTCTGCATTTTTTGGGGTGGTCACAGCCTGGAGGTGCTTCCAAGGTCACTAAGAGTCAAGCTTGACTTGAAGAAGACTTTGAAAAGATTGTCTATTATTGTGAAAGCATCTGCTTCTCTCTGAGGCATGGATACCAATCCAAATAATTTAGACAGATGCTTTTGGAACTCAACATAATTAAGCAGGCTTGGAAAGTGCGTTGATAATTGGGCTGATAGATTCAAAATCAGCCCTAGTCAAAAAATTTATTCAAAGCGCCGGTTTGAATACATTCTGGTACTCAACTATTTCGAAAACTGATCTGACAATTATAAAGCCCTTAGCTGAAGAACCACAGAAACGATTGTAACAAATAAATATTATGCTGTTCTGACCAAGGCTTCCTGAGACCATAATTAAGCACACACTTAGTCCAAACAACTCTTGTTTTATTTCAACCCTGGGAATTATGTTCATTCCCAGCCCGTAATTAGTCCCAAACAGTTCCTCGAGATAAGCACTCATCTTTCTCTCCTTTGAATGGCTGCCAACAACTAAAGTGCCAAATTAACTGTAAAAAACCAACCAAAGTACAAAGTCCACACATAGTTTCAAGGTTTAATCCAAACAGAGTGAATGACATTGCTTCCTGCAAAGGTTTCTCTACCTTTGCACATCCTTTATACTTTATGGGAGGGGCAATCACCTCCAAGCCTTGCTCCCGAATCGCCCCTTTTGTCTTAGCTGTTCTTGCCTTCTAGCAGCTCTGCTCATTCGTGCACAGGGAACAGGCTCCCCTTGTTCTTCTGCCTCGCTGCTGCCAGACTCCAATAGAGGATTTTCAAGCCCAGAATACCCAGTTGCCTCAATTACAGTCTTTGTGAGATAAGCTTGGAATGTGCTTCTAAGTTCATTTGCCCTATGCTCCTTCAGGGTTTTACCCCCCCCCCTTTCTTATAGCAACTTGGAAACTGGCATAGGAGTGTTTTACAAATTGACAGTTGCAGAGATGGGATTAAAAATATTTTTACTACCGGTTCTGTGGGTGTGGCTTGGTGGGCATGGTGTGGCTTGGTGGGTGTGGCTTGGTGGGTGTGGCTTGGTGAGCATGGCAGGGGAAGGTTGCTGCAAAATCCCCCTTCCCTTCCCTCCCCACCCCACTAACCTGCTTTCCAACTCCATTCTCCTGTGCAGGGCAACCAAAGAAGACCCAGCTGATCAGCTGCGACTTGATGGAAGGCAGAGAATAGATGGTGGTGGGGCCAGTCAGAGGTGGTATCCCAAACTACAAAAAACTACAAAAAATTCCATTACCAGTTCTCCAGAACTGGTCAGAACCTGCTGAATACCACCTCTGTGACAGTGGGGTTGTTTTGCCACAGTTGTTAAGCCTTTGTTAATTGAATTGTGTGCGCATTCATTGAATCTGGCTTCTCACATCGGCTTTGCTTGTGAGAAGTCAGCTGGGAAGATCCCAAGGGGAGACCATGTGAGTTCTGGGATCTTGCAACCATCATCATCCCCCACTGATTGACAGCACCCAAATTTTGATCACACCCTTGGGAAGACGCTGCGACAGTTGTTAAAGTGCAAATACCAGTTGTGAGTCAATGCTGTTGTAACAATGAATGGTTGTAAGTCAAGGATCATCTGTGTTAGAAATATGTTTTATTCAATATAATGTTCACACTTGTTTAAAGTAAAAACTCATTCTAAAACCGTTTCTGGAATGTATAAATTTATTACCAAAAAAAAAAAAAAAACAACAACCCCAGCCTGTGCAAATATTTCTACAAAACTGAGAATGTTTCCATACTTACAGATTTGCCAAACAGATGTCCTCGTTATGGTATCTTTCCTATTGTGTTCATTTCAGTACACAATTTCCTTAACTTAACATAATCTAAAAAAAAAAATCTAGTCCCATATTTGATAGTAAGCACATATATTATTTTGGTAAATTGCTCTAAAATTCAAGCTGAACCATTTTTGGGGCTTTACTCTCAAACCAAACCAGCATATGTCCTTCTCTGTACATACTCATCCCTTCTCTTCCTTTCTGGGGTGAGTGGTGCTATTCCAAAGGTGGAAAAGAGGTAATAACTTATAAGCCATAGAAATTAAAGGTTTAAGGGGAGAAATGAAAAGGCATATTGCTAAATCTAACTTACATTGACACTGTTTGTTATACTTCTTTAGAGCTTCCGATCATGGTTTCTTCTACAACACATCCCACAAGGCCATTCCCTCTACTCCCTTTTAGTCTTCACATTTTGCAACTCTCTGCTTCGACCTCTGAACTTTCTTAGTTTTAAATCTTCCTCTTGACCCTTTGGCTTTTTAGTTCTTATCATTCCTTCTTTCCTATATGACCAATCCATACTGTACTGCTTCTATATTGTCTCTTACTTTGAATCTAATACACAATTCATCCATCATCACTTCTTCCTTCCTTCCTTCTTTCCTCCATCCCTCTCTCCCTCCCCCTTTCCTTTCCTTCCTTTCCTTTCCTTCCTTTCCTCCCTCCCTCCTTCCTTTCCTTTCCTTTTTCTTTCCTTTCCTTTCTCTTTTCCTTTCCTTTTTCCTTTCCTTCTCTTCCCCCCTCCTTCCCCCTTTCCTTCCCTTTCCTCCCTCCCTCATCCTATCTTCCTCCCCTTCCCCCTCTCTTTTTTCTTTTCTTCCCTTCCTTCCTGTCTGTCTGTCTGTCTGCCTGCCTGCCTGCCTTTCCTTTCCTTTCCTTTCCTTTCCTTTCCTTTCCTTTCCTTTCC